AAGGGAGTGTTTGCGGCGCTATCGGCTCGCTACGTGCCCCCTCCCTCCAGAGGTTGTTCTTAATTTGCGGGCCCCCGGCTCCCGGTAATACCGCCCAAGGTACCCGTGTCTGGCGTACGGGAGTCTGTTGAACCCCTCCTGGGCAGCCTGCCGCGCTCTTCCTCTCCTGTGCAACGCACGGGGCTCTGTGAAATGGTCCGTGTTAGCTAGGCACCTTCCTTTAAAATACATATTCATGAACGGGAGTCTGCTTGATTTTTGTAGGTCAAAATCTTAAAGTGGTTTTTTTTTTGCCACACTTCTACTTGATTGAGATTCTCTTCAGTAAGTCCAGAGCATGCTGATGAAAAGCATCAAACACGTGCATTATTATTGCTTGAAAGGGCTTCATGTGAGCTTTACTCTGTGAACTGTACATTAGATACGTGCCTTAGGTGCCAAATGGGGAGAGCTTCTAAGTGAATTGTGTGGTTAGCATGATTATTCCTTCAACACAGTGAGCAGTAGCGCAGTACTTCATCGTTAAGCTCTGAAGTTCGGACTCAGAAGAGTGCAGCTCTGAAGTTTTTTGTGCAAGAGGTATTTGGATTGCAAATTTTGCTTCAGGCTTTTGTCAACAAGCTGACTAAGGGTTTAGGAAAGCAGTATTTGCGGTGTGTTTAGTGGGGTAACAGAAGGCTTGCATTTATAGAAATTGAAATAATTTCCTATTAGGAGTATGATTTCAATGGGAGTTTTGATCCAGAAATGTTAGCATGTGTTAAGTGACATGGGACTGGGTTGTATCTGTTTAGGGGAATAGTCTGAAGTAGGCACTTCTTGCTCTGTAGAAAGGCAAAACTTGGTGGCAATTGTTGGCCTTTAAATGGGAGGGAAGCATAGATCCCGTGTGCAGCCTGTTTGAATGCCAGCCTTTCTCATCTAGCCAGTTCCCAGTTTTAATAATTGGATGATTATCCTGTTTCTGCACTGTCTGGTGGGATTAATGATAAACTTGGGGGAGCAGGGGAAGTCTTGCACAAAATCCCAGGTGCTGCCCGCTGCAGGCAGGCTTTTTACTAGTGCTCAGGAGACTGAGCAGAGTTTTCGGATCTGATACAGAGAGCTCTGCAAAGTAGCTGGGCTATTTGGCTACTTAAGGGCATAAAACAAAACTAAACACCATGAAAATTCTCAACCTAGGATTTTTTTCTAGATCCTTTAGAAAGAGGCCCACTTTCTCAGTAGGACTGACAAATCATGTGGAATCCTTAGAAATAGTCAAAATTTAACTGGGCAAGGCACTGAGCAACCTGTTCTAAGTTGGGCTTGCTCTGAGCAGGGGCAAGTGAGGTTGGACTAACTGATAGCAAAGGTTTCATCTGACCTAAATACTTCCAATTCTGATGATTCCTGAATAAGAGCCTTTCTGTCATGGTAAAATTCTTACTACTATTGTTACTGTTCGTTGTAAGAATTTGCACCACTGTTGTAAAGCGAAACCAACGCAAATAACTGCAGTAAGGACCCACACTCTAACCTTGATACAGTGAATCTACTGTCCTGCTTCTTCTTGTACGTGATCGATAACCTCCTCTTGAGTTTGTTTCATCACTTCCTTTAGAACTTTTGTCATGAAAGTATTGATACATGGAAAGACTTAGACTTCTGGCTCAAATCTGAGCTCAAATCTGCCTCAAGTCTAAGCCAGAAGTTTGACCGTATTTTAAAATGTCTCTGCTGAAAGATAGGGTGGTAGTTAGCACTTAAGATAATTGAAATAGTACATAACATAAGCTTCCTGCCACCATGTATCTTGCATTCTTTGCTTAGGATTTTTACCTAACCAGGTTGGCAAGGGGAGTGATTAGACTTTTTCTCAGATGACTTCTGAAAATAAGCACTTGTATTGAAATGTATTGTGTGGAGGAGATTTCTGGAGAGTAACATACCACGTATTTTGAATCTGAGGGTGGCATGTTATCCCTGCAGCTGGGCTGATCCTGTTTGAGATGTCTTTACTTTGGGACCTACGCATCTTCCTTTTTCTTAAAGTGTCAGGGAGCAGTGAGAGCCTGCTGCTCCCTAAAGGGCCAGGTGCTGGGAGCTCAGGGGGGATAGCATGGCTGCGGGCAGGGGCTTACCTGTCAGTCCCATAGTACCTCCGTGAGGTGAGCAGAGCAGACGCAGAGATTAGGGCCAGGTTCAACCAAAGCCCAGGTTCATGGTGATGAGGCAGGACAAGCCGGTAAGTCAGTCCACAGGTCAGGGTCAAGTCCCCTGATTGCCAGGCAGGCCTGTGGTGGTAGGGCTGGGCCAAGGCCGGGCTTGGGGCCATCAGCCCAGGTGTGGGGGTCAGGGTCAGGCCTGGTGAGGGGAACACGAGTCAGACATAGACCCGGGATGGCCAGGCAGGGCCAGGGGGATGAGGACAGGCTGAGGCCGGGCCAGGACATCAGCCTGTGGGTCAGGCCTGCATCAGCAGGACCCATGGCCAGGGAGGGCAGGGCTCTGGTGAAGCTGGAGACCAGCACTCCTATGGCATCACTGAGGCAGGGATTGATGGCCCTGGAATGGGCTGAAATGGGTATCCTGGCCCATGGATGAGGACTTGACAGTGTGTTGTATTATCGCTTCTGGTTCAATGGCAATAACTGCTAGTTTCTGCTTTGCGTTAAAACATCAGAGCCTGAAGAGGTACAAAACTAACAACTGTTAGCAAAATCCACCCTAAACGGCAAATTACAACACTGCATGTGTTTTAGAGTCTGTATCTCCCCACGAGACAAAGCTCAGGAAAAAAAACTTTTTTTTTTTTCTTTTTTGGAGGGAGGATTGCCAAATGTTCAGATTATGGGATGATGGTCTTTAACAAAAGAAGTATTTGGGCAAAGCAAAAGAAGCCTATAATGCATGTTCCGCAGAGAAAATTAGGTGTTGCCTAGTAAGTCATTCTCTGTTCCCACTGATTTCTGATTTAGATGGGATTATAAACTGTCATCTTGTTTTCTTTGATGTAGCTAACATACATGGAGCAAGGGGTCTGGGAAAAAGTACGTAATTTGCCAAGGTCCAGTACAGGTAATGTTATAAGAGTAGCAATTTCTCTAAGAAAGCCAATTAGTTACAGAACTTTATTTTCAGAGGTTTATAAGAACGTGGCAAAACAGCTTTTTCCTTTTGGATCTCACATGTAAGTAATAAGCCATGTATTATATGTCTTAAAAGAAATTTCCAGTTAGCAGGAAGTTTAATGGATTACTTTGACATTAGTGTTTTGATTGTGTTATGTTAAATATAAGATCATAAGAATTGGGAAGGATTTTTTCCTTCCTGCCCTCCTCTCCCCAATTTCTTGTAATCAGAACGCTATTTAATAGTTTTTAATAACTTTTATTTGTGTTTCTCTTCTGTAAAAGAATTACTGAGAACCAGCTTGAATAATACCTTGAATATTTTCTTTCATACAGGACATCATGGCAGCCCATCAGGAGAAAAAACCTTCTGAAGAAAGAAAACACAAAAGCACCCAAAATGATACTCGAACATCTCAAGTCCAGTGGGGAAGAGCATGGTGAGAGAAGCTGATGACCCTAATTAGACATTGTATTTCAGATTGCTTCATACTTACTTTTATAGGTGCTACATTCCTTTTAAACTTCACTCTGTTAGTAACAGGTTGTTGCATTGCCCTTCTTTTGAAAGCTCATGGATAATGAGCTGTAGTAACAGATGCCAAAGAAGAGTTCTTCAAGATTTTTAAGATAGAGAGCTTGCCAGATGGCTTGGGTTAAAACACAGTCCTCCTTGCAAAAAAGAAAAGCTAATAATAAAAACCAGTAAAATTTGTAGTTCCTTCAAGGGCTGAACAAAATATTTCCTGAGATTTGGAAACCAGGCATTCATCTGTGGTATTGTCAGCTGACATCTGCCTCTGTAGCAAGATTTATGACTCCTATCCCTGTTGTCAAAGAGTTGTGCAAGTATTACTAGAGTATTGTATTGCAACTGGAAACAGCCATGGGTGTGTGTGCAGCTTGTCACTACAGACAGTGTGTGGTAGAGTGAGTTCAACTAATGACTGTCCAAGGTCTGTCTTTTCTGCATTTCCAAGCTTTGCACAATATTCTTGTGCCACTTCCAACTGAATACTCTACCAGTTATACCCATGATTGCCATCAAAAACATGAAGGCTGTAAAAATAATCTGCTTTTTGGAGAGGGGAGTTTATCTGTTCTGTTGCTCTGATCAACTAGCAGAGTTCTATAACAGTTTGTGGTGAAGTATGTAACATGCTAAGCTTTTTATAGCTATTTGACCCAGAGAAATGTATGTGCCCTGAAAACATTTTCAATTTTCATCCAGTTAGTCTAGAAAGTCCACTGAAAAAATTGCCTGACTTAATCAAGCCACTCATCTAACTGAAAGCTGGGGAAAAAAAATGCTCTGTTTTGGATTACAGGGAAGTGGACTGGTTTTCCTTGGCAAGCATCCTTTTACTGCTCCTGTTTGCGCCACTCATCACATATTACTTCATAATGTCCTGTGACCAGTACCAATGCTCTCTGACTGATCCACTCATTGACTTGCTCATGGGGAATAAACATCTGTCTGACATCTGGAACAAGACTCCTACACTGACCTATAGGGCTGCTGGCATCTATACCCTTTGGGTCGCTTTCCAGGTATATTATTGAGTTACAATCTAGATGTAGTGGCTGTTTTTTCAAAGGAAGAATAATAGAATGTCGCACTGGCATTTACTCCTTGGTGTTTCTTGCTTTCCATGGATTTTTGGAATCCAAATAACACTTATGCACTTGAAAAATAAATATGTAGGCAATATACACAAATATTCCTTGTGCAACGTATTCCTTGATGTGTTTTTTAGGAAAAAGCAACTATATAACAACAATGCCCATTTGTTTTACATTAATACATGATAAATATACTGTAAACTAACACTGCAGAAGGGGTGATATTTTCTATAGACAGACGGTAAAAGAACACTGACATTAGAAATAGCTTACATTTGTAAAATATCTACAGACTTACCAAACTACTCCATTTTTTTTTTTTCCGAATTGGAAAACCTGCATATAACGCAGATTAACTTCAAAATAAAAAGATAAGGACCTGAATCTAGTTACCAGCTGTCCTGCCTCCCCACCAAAAAAGGATGACAACCATACATGAAGTACATCTTTAGAACTGCTTAATAGCTTGGACATATTACTAGTCTAAAATCACAACAGCTAAATCTTGCCATATTTGCTTATCCAATACTGAATTGAAACTGCCATGTGTTATATTTGGTGTGCATATGAAAGGGATAGTGTTTTGGGGGGCTTGTGTTGTCTGTTTTTGCTGTTAATACATTCTCTTTGTTCTAGGTGGTTTTGTATGTGTTCATTCCTGACTTCTGCCATAAATTTCTTCCTGGATATGTAGGAGGTGTACAAGAAGGTGCTGTCACCCCTGCTGGTAAGTTCTTCTTTGGAATATATGCATACCATACGCTCGTTTAAAATTATAGTATTTCTGTACTTGCAATCTTTAGTAACCCATGTATCTGGGGGAAATGTGGACATCACCGCCTCATATGTTTACTTCAAACAAAAATGAAAAGCAATCTATGTCATCTTTTAGAATAAATTAGAGAATTCTCTATCTCCTACTGTTAGTAAAACTATTGATATGACAGGTACCACACCAGCAATGGAAAAATACAGATTGATAATTTTGGCATTTAAAATCAGCAGTGTTCTATTGTTAGTGTTTGACAATGCAGTTGCACCTGCTTAAGCAAAGTTAAACCATGAGACTTGTGCAAAATGCGTGATGTGAACTAAGTGCGAGAAAGGGTAACTTGTTACCTTAGTTTTAGGGGAGATTCTAAATTCACTGTTTTGTGAAGCAAGAGTGAAGAGAAAAACTCAGCCTAACAAAGCCTGATGATTACAGCAGAGTCTAATGACACTTTCAGAGAAGCACCACAAGATATTTAATTGGGAGGCTGAGGAGAGTGAGGTCATTTCATGAGTGCTTGATTGAGCTTCTATATATTGTATGCATATCCATATTAATGAAAAACTGTATTAATGCAATGTCACTAACATTCAATTTTTTCCTCATACTTTAGGTGTAGTAAATAAATATGAAATCAATGGACTTCAGGCTTGGATCATTACCCATGTGCTTTGGTTTGCCAATGCCTATTACTTCCACTTTTTCTCACCTACCATAATTTTTGACAACTGGATTCCTCTCCTGTGGTGTGCCAATATCCTGGGATATACAGTTTCCACGTTTGCAATGATTAAAGGCTACTTTTTCCCTACCAATGCCAAAGACTGGTATGTGACTTTTCAATAATGAGAGAATACTAAGTAATCAGACATATAAATTGAATGCTGCACAGAATAATAATGACAGAATATATTTTAGTGGCACAGCTAGATAGGCCAATATATGACTGTGGTTCTTTGCTTCCTTAGCACCATCCTCTGTGTTTCATGCTACACGTCATGTGACTGGCAGCCTCGGTGTCACAGATGCATCCATCCTGTTTGTGACAAATAAGGAAGGTTATAGTTAGACTGTTCAAAAGTGTTACATCAAGTGAATCTGAAATGCGTAGTCAGAATAGTAATTACCTATATTTATGTATAACTGTGTACATTTCTGATTATTTCTTTTTTAATGCTTTCTAGCAAATTCACTGGCAACTTCTTTTACGACTACATGATGGGGATTGAATTTAACCCTCGAATAGGAAAGTGGTTTGATTTCAAGCTCTTCTTCAATGGGCGCCCTGGTATTGTAGCCTGGACTCTGATTAACCTTTCCTATGCTGCTAAACAACAGGAGCTGTATGGTCAAGTAACTAACTCCATGATCCTTGTCAATGTCCTTCAGGTAAATTTGGAGGAGGAAAATAAGAAAGCAATTTGGAAATAAACTAGTATTAAGGTAGAAAAAACTTCTCGCACTGAAATTGAACTCCTGCAGTTTTTCCTGGCCTGAACAACCTCATTCAGTGATGATGCACTTGTATTCACTTGCTTCTTTGGACACATCATTCAGACTGCCACTGTAAAAACTGCTGTATTTGTTCAGAGTGCTGCCAGTGGCATGGTCATGTTTGCACCAGCAGATTTCAGTGTAAACTGAAATTAAGAAATTCTTTTCTGAGCTATATTCTGGAAATAGGCATAGCCTGACCTTGAATCCAAAGAGAACAATGACAAATTCCATGGCTTTAGTTGGAGCAAGATTGGGCAGGGTTTTTTTTCTGAGGGTAGCACTGCACCGAACTTCTTTGTGTGTGTGAGACATGCAGAACTACAGATGTCTCCACACCTAAAAATAGCCAGTCAGCTGCTGTGCTTTGTACTGAAAAGACCCCAAAGTAATAAGTAGAAATAATAGTTTGGATTTATCCATTGATATGTGTAAATGGAAGCCTGCTTGATAGAAGCTCTGTTCCCCCTCTCTGTAAGCATAAGACTCTTTAAGCTGAAGAGAGGTAGGGGTGGTCAAATGCAAGTACACTTCCTAAGTGTCTGTCCTTAAGTAGCACATTTGCCTTGGTCCTTTTGGTTAATATTGCTTTGCATTACTTATTATTGCTTTATCTATCTAGATGGAGTATGTTTGTGTGGTACATTCCTCTTAATACCCCGTTCTTGAGGTGTCAACATAAAAACACGAGTCAGTTTTGAGATCTTATCACCAGACAGCACAGAAAGATTAGGCTGATGCTGTTAAGCAGGGTAACTGGTGATAGTGCTGTGTTATTAATGTGCTACTATACTGTTTCAGGGTATTTATGTCTTGGACTTCTTTTGGAATGAAGCCTGGTATTTGAAAACCATTGATATCTGCCATGATCATTTTGGATGGTATTTGGGCTGGGGAGACTGTGTTTGGTTGCCTTACCTCTATACTTTGCAGGTAAAAATGTGGTACAATACATGTTTGGGCTAAAAGGAAAGAAACTTTCCAGAAACACTTTCCCCAGTAGTTTGATTTGTGTCTTAAATTGTTTCTAGACAGTTTGAATGTTGAGTAACCATTACAACATCCTTTGTAATGATTCACTTGTAGGAAGGCTTACTGTCCCTGCACGGAATTGACATCTTTTTTTCTCCTCCCATTCTTCTGTGCCCTTTTCTGTCACTGTCTATTGTGTCTGTATATTTTTCTAAATCCTTTCAGTTCCTTTTTGTACTCCTGCATGTTGAGGGTTTTGGGTTGTTTTTTTTGGTGGGTGGTGGTTTGTTTGGGGTGGTTTCCCTCCCCTCCCCCACTTCTGTCCTGGTTTGTTTGCATCTTTGCAACTTCTCTCTTCTTATTCCACCTAAGAAATAAGTTTTGGGGAGAGAGAGAAAGAAAATATAGGATGCAGAGTTTTCTGAAAATTTTCCACGGTTTTACTGGCAGGGTGGATTTTCCTGTTCTTTCTACTCCATTTGTTCTGGGTTGCTGTAGGTCAAGGAATTAGTCTGGCATTCTGAGCATATATTTAAAGTAAATCACTGATTGTCTCTTTTTCTGCTCCCCAGGGTTTGTATTTGGTTTACCACCCTGTCCAGCTGGGCACAGCTAATGCCATAGGGATCTTGATGTTGGGTTTAATTGGCTATTACATCTTCAGAATGACCAACCACCAGAAGGACCTCTTCCGTCGTACAAACGGCAATTGCAAGATATGGGGGAAGAAACCAGAGTATATTGAGTGCTCCTACATGTCTGTGGATGGGACCAAGTACTACAGCAAACTGATGACCTCAGGATTCTGGGGGTGGGCGCGCCATTTTAACTACACAGGAGATTTGATGGGCTCCTTGGCCTACTGCCTGACTTGTGGGTTTGAACACATCTTGCCTTACTTCTACATTGTTTACATGATTATTCTGCTAACCCACCGTTGCATTAGGGATGAACACCGTTGTTTCAGCAAATATGGGAAGGACTGGAAGCGCTACACTGCTGCAGTGCCTTACCGGCTCATTCCAGGAATATTTTAAGGCTAACACAGAATCCAGAAGAAAGAAAACAGAAACTTTTTTTGGAAGTGAAGAGAGTTTATCCACATAGTTAAACTGACAAGAACACTTGGTGAAGGACACTCATACTGTTCTGAAGTCAAAAAAGTGACTGGACAATAATCCGTACTGAAGGAACATGCAGACAGTCTGTATTTAAAGTAAATGAAATGAGGCACTGAAATGTCCTGGTTTTTTAGAAGACTCTTTTACCTAGAACTTTTTTTTTTTCCCCTCCTCCTCTGAAAATTAACTTGGAATTGAAGAAAAGTTGCATGTATTGAGACTCCTGAAATCTCCCAAAGCTGGGAGGAGGCCTTACCCTTCAGAGTAGCAGGGTTCTGTGACCAGTTTTCCAGTGACTTAAGAGAGAATGAAAATAGTTGTGTGATCTGTTCATGAAAGAAGTTGTATGACGTGGTTGCTTGTGACAGTCATAACCTACAGTCAGTAACTCCTCAAAGGAGTTTTTATTCTTTGTTGCTTTTCAAGAGGTTAACTGAGGTAAAACTGAGCTGGGGAACCAGATCCTAAACTGGTGTGTGGGAAGATTGTTATAATCTAATAAAAGTATTTGTGAAACCTGTATAAATTAGTATAGCTCAAAAGTTACATTAGTTTACAGCACCTGAGAAAATAGTGCATGACCAACTGAGTATTATTTTAATACTGAAACCAAACTTGCTTTCTGAAGATAGTGAGCTGTGCCTGTTTTGGCTGGG